AAGGATTTTATATAAAAACAAATTCAACTCTCTTTACAGAACAACAGCTCGGTCAAAATGTCAGTAAAAAAAAAAAAAAAAAAAAAAAAAGATTAATCTGATTGGATTAATCAAGGACCGTCATGGTCATAGAGCGATTATGGCGCAACACACAACTTTATTAATCTACATAAACCTTACTGCCTTTAGTGAGCTGAGCTCTGATGATTGAGTTAACACCACTTCAAAATGGAGTTGCTGCCAGTTATTTATTATAAGATGGACGGGAAATTAGTGGTGAACGATTATTCGAGCAAATCCCTCAGCAAACGGACGCCTTATAAGGGTAAATATGTTTCACATTTTTTTTACGAATAAAGTCAGAATTAATCGAATATTTACCAACAGCTTCCGTTTAGTCTTAAATGCTTTAGCTTTATTTTCTTTCAAAATTGCATATGCTTGGTTCGAATATTATTGCGTGCTCTTAAGTGCATTTATCAGGAGAAACAGCTTTCTGGGTGGGATTGCCGATATAGTTGTCTATAAGTACAAAGCAAATATGGGTACACAAAAATCGAAAGTGATTGATTTTCATTCATTGTCTGCACTTTTTGACTCGTTCAAATAGGTGAGGCGACTTGCACTCTTTCGCTTCAGAGAACAAAGTGTAGTCTGAGTTGCTACAAAATAGAACTAGAGGGAAATCATACGCATTGACAAGATTATATTCATCCTACTTAACAACAGGGCCACTTAATTGCTTTTCAATGATAAACTGTCCAAACAATCCTGAAGGCTTGGAGGAAGTATTGCATTTACTTTGGATTTCCGGTAATCTTTCATTTAGAGCTGGAAAAAAAAGGTAACTGATATCGTTTTTGAGAATTAGTAATTAGGTTATGGTCAAACGTAAGCTGTGTTATGTTAATACCAAACTGAGAGAAACTGAAGTGAAAAATAAAAAGATAACGAAATTCTTTTTTTTTTCTCTCACTAAATGTGATTTCCCAGTTGAAATCCACACAAATAAGAGTCCAACTACTTAATATTTTAGGTTTTTTTTTAAAGTTCATTGGAATTGGCGCTGATGGGAAAGAATTTCCTCATTAATGGCTTTTCAGGGCAAGAAAAAAAAAACATGAACGAGACAATAATGGGTATGGATCGCGAATTAAGATGGCAAGCGAATAATATAATTAGACAAATAGATTAAAGTTCAAGATCAGAAAAATAAAACAGAAAGGAAACCTTCCTTTCCCAGATTTTAATCTTAGTTTATGATTGTTGCTATGAGAAGTGATCAATTACCAGTAATCGTTCCCGCTCAGTGATAACTCGTCATTTTGATAGGGTATGTTAGGAACCCGTTAACGGTCGGCAGAGAGCTGATAAATAGCAAACCATTGTGTATTTATTTTGTGTTCCTGAACACGTATTTAGCCCTGGGAGAGATAAGGACCAATGTGCTACACTCCTTAAGAAATAAAAAGTTATTCGGTTTTTTCTGAGCTTGGGTCTATGGCTTCAGGAAGAGGGCGTGCGTGATTTTGTTAACTCACTTCTGTTCATGTTATGCGGAACTTGCTCGAAGTTGTTTGATATGCCGAACCCGATTATTACACAGATCTCATACTTAATTACGTTGATATGGACTATGATTGCTATGAAAACAGATATAGCCGGCTTTTTTTGGACTGATACCAAAATCGTTTCTCATTTACGTGAGAGCTTCCTAAATCCTCCTATTGCTTGTACGTGCGAGGAGTCAGTTGAATATTAATCCACGAACAGTAAAGGGAACTGAGCCTCTTATATGAGACTGCGAGGTAATCTTGATTTCAACTATTGTTTGTAAAGTGCAGTCTAGCGCAAAAATTTAATAATCTCAGATTTCTCATCTCGGAGACGGCATGTATTATACATCATTAACATCATAAAAGAAAATCAATTTTAACTTAATCTAGCATGGCATAATATACAGTGAGACTGATCAAGCAGCTCTTCACAGAGGTTCGCATCAAAAAGCAATAAATAGATTAAGCATGTTGTGGTAAAGATTACAGACCAGTTGAGAACAAAATAAACATACAACCTCAACTAAGTCGAAAAAAACCTCCAAGGATTTGGGCGATGCTTTATTTCGTTACCTCAATTTTATCATGAGCCTCTTTTTCCTCTAAAAAGTATTGATCAAGTCAAGCAATTCAGAAGATGGCATTCCTGTTTAAATTGTTTTAAAACGATCTAGAAAGAATGTGATTTACTTGTTTTGATAGCTTGCCTTTCGTACCTAATAGCTCAGAAGCCTTCGTTCTTGATCCTTCTCCACAAAGATATGCAGCTTATAAGTTTATACAAATGTGACTTAAACAAACATATTCAGGACATTGTGATTATTTTTCGTGCTTAGTCTAAACATAACAGCGAGATAATTGATTTTTCATGAAAGTCAGTTAATAAAAAGCAACCAAGCTTTTTTTTTACTTTGGACTTCCGGGCACCATTAGAACAAGAAAAACGTAACTCGGGAGTTTTTTTTACAACGTGAAAACAATTTGCAATACTCTAGATGTACGTGAAATAATGCATCTAACTTCGTATCGAGAGCAAATTTCATACAGAAGAAGGAAAACGTCAATTCTACTCAGTACGTTTCCAAAGAAAACATTCCATGTTTACGAATGGTTTCTTTATTACTTGCCCCCTTCCTAAAACATGCAGGTAGACCCTGTTATCACCGAAATCTTTGCAAAAGCTTTTGCAAAGATTAATATTTGAAATAGTTGTTTCTTAAGTCATAAAAATCAGTGTATCGTCGTACTTATACCACTCTTGAATATGTTACTGCAATTGAGAAACAACAGAAGAATCATTCTACGGGAAGATAATTAAACGGATTTATCTCGACAACAAATTTCATTCAAATCGACAGCGTGCTCTAGCGAATAATCCTATCATCTTCAATCTTCCCAAGAATTTCTAAGAGAAAATTCCTAACTACCATTTTTATGTAGATTAGGAAGCACGTACGAACCATCGTGCCTCTGTTTGTTTTCATTCCCATTAAGGCCAAGATAGCGTTGCCTGCAAGCTCGCGAGCTTATATGACAAAGTTTGTGCCGGCAATGAATATTTGCAATAGTCTTCAAAAGCCAGAAATTTTGACCACTGTTTTAGAGGCATTTTAATGTTAAGGGGAAGTGAGTAGAGTTTCAAACGTGAGTGCACGAAGCTTTACCTTTCCTCCTTATTTACAAAGTAACCACGGAAAAAATGTCTAGGTGTTTAGGCATCATGAGCGTGGGATGGAAAGTGTTGTGCTTTGTGAAATTTGTCACGTGCATGACGATGACTAGTCGTGGGAATAGTAACCTTATCGCTCAGTACTGTTAAGCATCATGTAATACAAACATGAAAAACAAATTAATCACATGTATGCCAACATTTAAAACAATTTAGGCACTTGTTGAGTGTTTCAATCTAAAAAAGTCGAAACAAAGGGTCTGGAAGTATGCCAAGTAACCAAAAAATAAGGCGTAATCGCTAAATCTTCGGAGAGCAAACATTAAGGTCACACGCGAAAAACAATAGGGAATGAAGGAAATCTGAAACCAGAAAAAGAGAATTGCCATTGATTAAGAAATTACTGAGGAGGGCAAACTAACATTGCGAAAGCAAACGTAACCTAACCAGAAGATTTCAACAACCTTATGGCCACGCAAAACCCAGTGTCTGCACATCGAGGCTGTCGTAAGCTTAGCCCTCCTATTAAGACTTCAAGTTTCCAACCACTAAAACAAAACACACTGGATTATGTTTTAACTAAAACATTACCCGGCCAGAGTTCGGTATCATTAAAAAGAAATTACTATCTTACGTTACCAACTCGTATTTTCTAACCCTCTAAATACCTTAAAATAGCGCCATCACCCCCCCACGACCTCGTACAAATTGATTCAAGATGTTGGTTTTAGCTGATCATATGATGTTTTTGAAAAATGTTATAGGTAGATTCTATTATAGATTGGTGAATTTCTTCATCATCCGTTCCTCGTGTCTCGACCTAGAATAGCCTAAGGCTTTAAGTTGTTTTTTAGTCTCCGAAGAAAACTAAAAGTATAATGTTACAGCTAAATCGTATATCAGCTTGTTTCAATCAAACTGATATTACCGCATCGTGACATTTCCGGCCCCTTAAGACAAACTTCCAATACCAGTATGGTACGGGGATAGGCTCATGATTTTTCTAAAAAAAAAACCAAAAAAAAAAAATCAAATTGATCCAAAAAATCCGTTACGCACGTGGGTCGGAGAACGAACTAACATTTCTGATCGAACTTTACACGTGAAAAGTAAAAGTAAATTGGTCCTTCTACATGGCACTTATACCGATAACACACTTTCTCTTCTAGATTGAAAGGGTGCACTTAAAATAGGTACATGGCCATGCTTAGCACCACAGATACATATTCTCAAAATCGATTACTGACCAAATGTTATTTCCGGCTGCTGAGGCCATCAATGTGAAGAGAATGATAAAAGTTTCGATTTACGATTATTTTATTAAGCGTCAACGATGATGATGAAGGGTTTCGATGTGGTTTTGTAATCAAGACTAAAGAATGCGCCTTGAATGCAGGTTTACATGGCGTAATAAGTCAAGTGACAATGTAAGATTCAGTGTCATTGTCAGGTTATACATGCACATAATAAATTGTGCCTAAGTTGGTTAAAATTCGTTCGATTTCGAAACAGGATATTGCCGCTATGTTTCCGTTATTGCCAAGAAAATTTTTTTTTACAATTTCATACCGAAAAGTTTTAGCGTATGTTCAAACTGGTAACTAAACATAGAGATTTTATGAATCTCATTAACAGGTAATGCGTTTTGCAGCATAAATTGTTTAGATAATTTTCTGCTTCTAAAAGGGTGAATAGGGCAAATTTTGTCTGGCTTTACCGTATTCAGAAATCAATGTCTTTTAACTCAACTCTTATGGGATGTTTTCTAAGCATACCTGTTTTAAGGCAATGCTGCGCAGTACTCTTTCCTAGGAAACATAAGAATCAGACCTCTTCATAAGTACAGTTGTAAACCTATACACCAGAGACATAAATTGTTTCACAAATTTTGCTCCAATTTTAGTGTAAAAAAGCTACCAAGCAACCAACCAACGCTTTCTCAGTTTGTTCGAGCATCATCTTGATCTCAATAGAAAATCTAGGATGTACAAATAGATTGCTGCAAGTGGTCTTCTTTCATGAAAGACCACGCAAGATGGAGTATGGTTACGTTTTCAAAAATGGTAAAAATGACTGAGATGTAGTCCGGTTGTAAGTGCAGGGTACTATTGTGTTAGAGAACGTGTGTGTACATTTACCTTCATGTCAGCAATTATAACAGGCAATTTTGTGGAGGCCACTCTTAATTCCCACAAACCCACCAGATACACTGGCCAATCGTGGTTTAGTTAAGACTTAATACGCCAGAATATTTTGGTTTCTGTGCGACACCTAATTTGCAAGGAATTCGGCGACCACCGAGAGTGAATGTAAATAATTGCAAAAGCCTATCATCAACAGTCATAACTATTCAATTCGGTTACAGGTGGCTAAGGTTAGGCTAGTTTGCTTGTGTAAATCCCAATTTTATGTTACTCCTAAAGCTTGTCACCAATTTATCGTTGGCACCCTCAAGAGAAAGATCAGAGTTGGGAACTTTGCAGGCTAAACAGCATTTCACTGATGTCAATGACCCCATTATTGATCTGCGTGAGGCTTGGATAAATCGTAGCAGGCATAAACAAGTGTCTACATTTCTGATTGATTGTTACCTGTCAGTTTCCACAGAAACCCTATCGATCACAGCACGCGCCTCCCAGCCAAGAAAGTATCTTATTGCACATTGCTTTCAATTCTGCCACATTCCGGATGTCCTGACCGAACAGGCTAGAAAGCAAAGAGACGACGACAAAAGACATAAGGCGTGCTATCGGAAGAACACAAAAATGGCGTTTCTAATCAATCGTGTTACCCCAGAGCCAGTGCCACCCTCAGCAGACGAAGCGGGAACCGAGTTATCAGACTCGCTTGGCTCCATGAAAGAAAAGAGTTGTCTAATCAATAACAATGAGAAGGATTCTTCTGAGACAACTGATCATGGTGGTGCTAATGAATGTCAAGAGGGCCTTGACGGCCTTCCCGAAAACGATGTAATAAAAAATGGTACGAATAGGTTACAAAATGAAAGGAGAAGCTGTTCACCTCATTCTAAAAGACTTGACTCATGGAATCTGGAGGAAAATTTGTCGTCACGGCGATCTTCCGCCTGTGATCGCGTTCTTTTGTTGACTATGTGTCTCATGTCGGCTGCCGCACTGATGCTCACCTTGTTGATGATGTTTGGAGTGGTTGGACCAATGCAATGTTCCTGCTCTGGGAAAACAGGTAATGTTTCTTACCATGTTCATTCATATTATGGTTACTTTTTTTGTAATCATTATCATAATTTTTAGTCATGATTTAAAATCGAATTGGTGGAGAAATATTCCAGAATTTCCGGCCAATTTTCCTACTCGTTATATCACGGACCGCGTAGGTTTCGATGCTTGAAATTTATAGATATCTTTGCTAAAAGGCAAACGATACATAGATCATCGGCCGTTGCGTGCTCAAAAATTTCCTCTCTTACTAAATAATAGATTAATTGATGCCGCAGCTAACGATTTTGAAATTGCTTTATTAGGTATTGAATCTTATTGTTGTTTGGACATGACACACGTTAAAGACAACACCGTTAATGAATTTGCTCACGCAAGAAAAATAACCCATTTGGTTTGCCCAACATTGTACATAGTCCAACTAAATCTTGTTTTGACGTATTTCCGGTGTTTGAAACGTTCCCTACGCAGATGCTTATGGGCTTTGGGTGAAGTTGAATTCAAAGAATACCGTCACTTGCGGAGGACATTTGTTCATAAAAATTCTGAAAGCTATTTTTAGACCCAAAGGAAAACATGGAGAACTTTCTGAACAACAGCGTAAGAACATCGAATTGAAGAAACCCTTATCAGAGGTTTTTGAAGCGAGTATAAGTTCAATCCAAGTGTCTTAAACCTGGTTTTTGATGTCGTATGTTAAAAAAAAAAAACGATGGAAAACAGAACTTGAAAATTTGTTGACCCTTTTGTCCTCGTCAGATCATTAAAGGATTTGTCGAGAAACGTTATATGATTTATCTATAGATTAAAGATGTCAGAAAATGAAATGTTTTGAGAGAAAAGAAAAAAAACAAAGCAAAACCTTTCGTACACTCGGAAAGAGGCAATTGGAATAACAGAAAGAAAGTGATATGGTTTCGATCATTGGGACACGGGATTGCGTGATCACATGGCTTAGGAGTATTCAAACACTTTAGGTCAATCAAATACAGACTGAGCACTTTATTTGTATTTCAAATTTCGATGGTATCAACTGTGTCTGAACATCTGATAACACCATCATCCACTTTTTCTTTCGTAAGTTTTACGAAAAGTTGTCGTCAGTAAACACCATTACCCTAACTTATAAGCAATCATCTCCGCGGCCATTCGGAGCGTAAACAAAATAGCTTTCCATACATTCCATGAATATCTCATTTCCACAGCAACTAAAGACGACGATAATTACAAAGTCTGCGTCTTTTCTTCGTTTTTCTCTTTCTTATTAACAATGAATTGTATAGACTCAGGACACTTGTTCAAGCGTTATTACAATTCCACAAACAATTCGTCTTGGACCTCAAACTAGTTTTTGTAAAGAAAAACAATTAGGGGGCAATTCAAATTTTAAGTCAATTATATTTCATAAAATGAAACATTGACAAAAAATGTAGCAATTTAAGTATGGAATAGCTGTCGAAACAAGTGCTCTATCCAATCGAGTTTCCCAGAAGGCTTTTTTATGAAGGTATTAACCCCGGAGCTGCCTGCTTAAAAGCTATTGAGCAATATCCAAAATGATATGTTCTTCTAGTATATTTGCGTTACCCACGAATGATTCAAGAGTCGTTCTGTCATCTTATTTCAAGGATGGCGTGAATATAAGGTCAAAAGGATCGTGAATGCTTAAATTTCTGACTTTCAAAGAATCACCACTCCAACGAACAATATCACGCTTTGCAAATTTAGCGAAAGGCCTTACGACCTCAGTATCTACACTTTTGCATTAAATAATGTTCTAGATTTTACGTGTTTGACGCTTGGGTAAAGTTAGCGATATCCATGTCAAAAACGACGGCTAGAGCTTTGAAATATCACACAAGAAAAACAAAGGGTTATGACTTAAGGTTTGTGCCTGTTAAATCCATTCTAGCTTAATCTCTCCCATCCCGTCTTTAAAGTGGACAAAGACTTCATTACGCTGAGAAATGTTATCTTAACACAAAATGTGTTGTGTAGAAAAAAAAAAAAAAAAAAAAAACGCTTGGAGGAGGAGAAGCAGAGACGTCAGCAACAGTAAAGCAGAGAGGGTACCAGCTCTCAGCCTGGCTCACATCCGGCAATCCCGTGTGCGCATGTAGACATGCTGTTTCGAGCGAGGATCAACCATCTTCGCATTCAGATCACCCCGTGATCAAAATCATCGTCATCTCCGCCCGCGTAGGGAGAACCTCACCATCATCGTTCCTATCTGAACATAATGTATAATTAGTGCTAACAGAAAGTTTAATTTGGACATTGCCGCTTTGGATTAGCGAAATAGATTAGACTACGCGGGGCGATTTATTCACTTCGAGTTTTCGATATCCTTTACAGTATCCATTTACAAACAGGCCTGGATCATAAAAAAAGGCCAACATGAGGGTTAGATCAGTCAAAATATTTCCGAATGTGTTCTTACGTTAAAACCCAGCCTCAAGTTTTTATATATTGCCGCCAGTTGTCACTTTGACTGAAATAGAAACATACTTCGAAAGCTAAAGAAAATGTGGTGATTAATCGGCCAAAACTTGCCCGTACTCATTCCACAATCGATCAGCTTCAATTACTCTAGTTTCTTGTATGCCTTAGAAATTTTTTGTATGCAGCATTTAATTAATAGTCCAAGATATTTTTTCTTTTTTATTTGAAAATTGGGTTACACCATTTTAATTCAACAATTTGAGTATAGAAAATGAACAATTTTCCTTCATTTTGATTTCATTTGATGTTAAATTAGCCCTCTGAGGTCATCCCGTATCAGTGTTGTTGAGCAATAAAATAGCGATTCCAGTTCCTAACGTTATTGTTTGTTTGTTACTGTCCTGTTACATCTGTTTCTTTAATTTGGCTGAATAGTGATTTACGGTTGGTTAGGATATGAGGAAAAATATCGTATTTATTTAGCTTCGCTTAACAAGCGAATAATCTATCTTTGATATGTAATATGCATTCTTCAAAAAGGTATCTTAATGATGTGAGCCACTTAACACCAAGTTTGTAGATTAGGTAGTTTCCAGATTGTAGTGTTCTTTTACTTCTCAATTTCGACATAATTTCTCGTAACTTTTAAAAAAAGTCACACAGTGTACCTTCTTCCTTACGAATGATGCACTTACTCAATAAGGAGGCCTTACTTACCATACCTTTGATAGTTGAACAGCTATTACTCTTGATAGTGATTGTTTGCATTAGCTCAAGAGTAGTATGTCGTATTTCTCCCTTTTTTACTCGAAAGATTTTTGATGAATGGTTTCAAAATCTGCTTATCGAAAGATTTCACTAAGGGATGTATAAACGTGTTTATTGATTCAATTTTTATTAATTTATCCATCTGCTCATCTTTTCGTTTGAAATCCTTAACCATTTTTGTTTACATTTTCTATGTTTTTCTTATTGTTTCCCCTTTTCTAGAAACGTCAGAACTTCAAAAGAATGTGCAAGAGTTGAAAAGGAACCTCTCCGCGTTAAGAGATTACTCGGTAGGAGTGATCCTTAATCATTAGTAGTGATCAGTTAAAAGCAAAAGTGCACTGATGTGAAACACATGGGTACATGTATGTACATAAGACTAAAGGCCCCAAAAGGACTTTTAACTCCCTGATTGTTAGTAATGGTACAGAAATATACATATCTTAAACAGAGCTTTAATAATTCCCTGGAGCCCAGGCTAGAGGCATCGTTTTTGTGTTAACAACACTGCACTTTTTCTGCTTTAACTTCTTCAATGTGGTGATTATTTCTAATCCGAGACTGTTGTGTGCCTGAGGAGCCTAATAAACATTGCTATAGGTAATCTTAAGTGTTATTACCACAGACATTATCAGTGTTCTCCTAATTTTTTGAACCACCCTTGGAAGGATAGCAGGTGCGAACCTTATCATGCAAATTGCACATCTATATAGCCATCATCATCATTAAATCATTATGAATAAGAAATGAGAAGAGAGCATTATTCTGCAAAGAAACTTGATCAGAAATATTGCATTTTTTAATTGCTATAGGTTTCAGGGGATGTAAAA